TCGTTCTATTGTACATAGGGTCTACACCAGTTGGAACTGACCCATGGCACCTAACAAGAAGAAGATAGAAAGGAGAGTACTGAGGGGAGGAGGAGTAGTTAATGTTAGAGACCATGGAGTTGTACCAAAAAAAAAACAAACTCACTGCCCTGGAGTTGGATCCTACTCATAGCAAGCCCTCCTTGGGTTTCCGGTATTGAAATGAGGAACTGACTCATGGCACCTAACAAGAAGAAGATAGAAAGGAGAGTACTGAGGGGAGGAGGAGTAGTTAATGTTAGAGACCATGGAGTTGTACCAAAAAAAAACAACAAACTCACTGCCCTGGAGTTGGATCCTACTCATAGCAAGCCCTTCTTGGGTTTCCGGTATTGAAATGAGTAAAGTAAAAACTATTTCCCCCACCCTGGCACCCAGAAGGGAATAGATAAGTAAACTAAATTACCCCCAACTATTTTCCCACCCCGACAGATGAGTATTCAGTTCCTTAAAGAACTGAATGGAAAACATTCCTTCCTGCAGATGATAGACTGCTAAAAGTATCTTAGAAACAACTTGTAAATTAACTCTGGCCTGGGGACATGCACAATAGGACAAAAAAGGAACAAAAGTTAATTGCAGCCCCACTCCATTTCACATTCACACCCAAATTCCTCAACCTTTTGTGAATATGCACAACCCCCTCTCCTGAAATCTACAGTTTTGATGGCATCTCAGGGAGTTAGATATGAGTACTAAACTACCCCTACTCCTTGCATTGCTGCTTTGCAACAAATAATTTTCTCTCCTCTCAATTTCTGTGTGTAAACTGTTTTGGCCTGACTGCAGGAACCCGCATTTGGTCTGATAACAGTATCACTGCGGAAGTAGATTGCCCAACCTTCCTTCAAGGAGTGGCTGGTGGGTTTGAACTGCCAGCCTTCTGGTTAGCACTCAAATGCCTTAGGCATTATGCCACCAGAGCTCCTATGGAGTTGTACAGCACTTTGAAAAAGTTGAACATTTGGAATATCTTTAGCTTTTGCCTTATAGAGACCAGTGTTGTGCTGGTTCTTCTAAAATAAATTATTCAAGCGGAGGTCAAAAGGAGACAGGAATTTCAAACAAGTTCCCCTCCCACTCTCACCCCAGGTTGAACTATCCAAACCTCTTTGACTCTTTAATTCTTTTGAAGAGCTTCTTTAACACCAGCAAGTCTCCAGAATGAAATACAAATTCAATACGGTCTTAGGTCCTTGTGACCAAAGGAAACACAAATGCACATAGCCCACAGTGTCTTCCTGGTCAGATAATGCTTTCTGCACTGGCTCTGAGGGTTGAGGGTAGGTTGATTTCTAACCATATTGGGGCCCTCCCCTGGAGCATTTCTGAAAGATTCTATAGGCTACACAACTGATCTCCACATCCTGGACCAGAAAGAGGGGTGCTTGATCACTGTGGTCTGTGCCCATTTCCTGGGGCTTGGCTCAAGAGCAGCCTCCTTCCCAGATTATACCTCAAAGTTCATCCTAGTGCTTCCCCACCACCTTCAGCTGGGGAGGTAAGCATGGGATAGCAATGAAAGAAACATGGCTTTGGGAACCTGAGGAAAATCAAAGATGGAAGATGCCTCACTCATGACAGGCATCACTGATTGATCCCAGTACTGCTCAACCTGAGCCAGAAGAAGGGTCCAGACGGACACAAACAATTGATCTGAGTAAGCTTTCCCTGAACAAGCTCTGCTGAACAATTCTCAAATCTTACCTCTGCTTTAGCTACGGAATCATAGTCTTAAAGAGAAAGCCAATGGACTCTTGTTAGTGTGTTTTTATCATTTGTTCTGTCAACCAGATATGAACATAATCAGTTCAGCTTTTCCCTGCAAACTAACTCATATTTCCCAAACCCACACTCTCTTAAGACTTCATCATAGTACAGTCAAGCACCCTTGCAACTTTTATAAAGAAAAAAAAAGGACATGTGACCCAATCATATATCTTGCCCTGGTTTTGAAAGGACCTACCTTTGTTTAAATAACTTTGCAGAACTTTTCCCTCCCCACCCTTTTTAACCCCAATTAACTTCCTCAAAGCTTCTTATGAAAGAAGACCACTATCTTTCTCAAATTGAAGTCTTTGGTATCTCCTCTTGAGTGCCAGGTTTCCTTGCTGCAGCAATTTGGTTTACTCACAAATTAAATCTTTCTTAACATTTTTATAACTCAATTAAAGAATCTGTCATTTAACAGTTATGTAATCTTAAAAATAAGTCTTTTTTTTTTTTAATCTACCAAACTTGAATACATTAAACTACACAGTTCAGTACAAAAAAGGCATTAAATCATGGAAGGTGAGAAGTGAAAAAAATGTGAGCATCTCTCCATCAGAAGCAAATATTGATCCTGGTGCCAAAGAACATTTAACTCAAGTGAATGTGAGATTGTAATATCCATGAGAAAGCAATAGAGAGAATGAATCAAAGCTTCTCTTGGGAATGTAAATGATAGTTTCAGTAATAAAAGTTTAAAGCACTTTTGAGGTTGTTTTGAATGGTCTTTATGTATGTAAGAAGGAGCTCTGGTGGTGTAGTGGTTAAAGCATTTGGCTGCTATCCAAAAGATTCAAACCCACCAGCCACTCCACGAGGGAGAAAGATGAAGCAGTCTGCTTTCATAGAGATTTATAGCTTTGGAAACTCTATGGGACAGTTCTATTCACTCCTAGAGGGTTGATACTTGATGGCAGTGGGTTTGTTTTGGGTTTATGTACATAAATAACTAAATTCTCAAAACTTACAATGTGAACATTTGATGAAGATTGTTCTGGTTACCTAATGTCACTCTGACGGGAATATACCACAAATGGGATGGCCTTAACAAACAGGAATTTATTCTATTACAGTTTGGAGGCTTTAAGTCTGAGTTCAAAGTGCCAGGCTCTAGGGGCTGGGTGAAAGCCCCTCAACCCTGCGCTTCAGCTCTGCTTTCTGCTCCCAGCCACTGAAGCTAGAGGTGTTTCTTCAATCAAACAGCTGCTGGCTGCTGAGACTGACAAGCCTAAGGTTGACAAATAAAAGGCACAGTCCCAATGTTACCAAACCACATGGCAGACCATTAATTCAAGTCCATTAAAAGTCCCAAGGTTGGCAGAGCATGGCAGGCTGCTAAACAACACAACCACATGCAGGGTTCAAGTGTGCCATAAGCTAGAGACCATTCCAAAAGCTGTTTCTTATATATGGGAAACAGACCACATACCCAAAGTAGCTACTCAGCTGATCCAATAGATTCCACCATGGAGTTAATTACCAATCTCACCATGGGGAATAACTACATTCAGCTGCCCAGCCAGTCAACCAGGCCCAGCCAAGTTGACACACAAACTTAACCACCACAGAGATCTAAGGGACAAAAGTTAAAGGAAAGGGAGAATAGAGTAATTCTTTATTTGGATGTGGCAGATTTTGAATTTTTGATCATGTGACCTAAGCTAGGTTAAAGTCACCTTGATATTGTGGATGACAATAAGAACAAGGTTATGGGTAATCTATAACTTTGTTAAGAGGAATATTTTTAGATTTAGCATTAGCAGTGTTTCACTCAGGGGGATTCCCCTGACAGCAGAGTCTGAGAGAGCCTTGGGGCAGATCAACTAAGGGACAGGAGAGTGGGATAGGGACAGAGAGAAAGCATCTTGAGAATGTCATCCACCACCACCCCTCCCCCAGGCAACTGGGGCTGCATCCAGAAGGTCCTTCCAGGAACCAAGGAACTGTCCATAGATAGGGATAACTTGTTTTTGGCTGCCGTCAGACAGTACTCAATGAGACCTCCAGGATGCCAGAGGCTTTTCAGGCAGGACACGAGACTACACCAGAGGAGCTTCCCGGTTGTTATAGGGGAAGCTGGGACGTCTCTAAAGGTGCACCACAGGAGTGGTTGGAGTGTCCAGAGTCCGGGTGGTGGGCAGCACTCACCAGTCAGGTGCACAGGAGCATCAGGGAGTTGGGGAGGGGGATGTCTGGGACCAACTCCAGAGTGACCAGTTCCTGAGTGACCTGGTGCGGGCCTTGGGCAGGCTCACTGGCCCAACTTGCAGTTGTTGTTGTTATGTGCCATCGAGTCGGCCCCGACTCATAGCGACCCCTCCTGGGGTTTCTGAGGAAGTATCACTACGGAAGTAGATTGCCCCATCTTCCTTCCCAGGAGTGGCTGGTGCCTTCTGGTTACCAGTCAAGTGCCTCAGCCACTATGCTACCAGAGCTCCTGAAACTTGTAGTGCGGAGCAGTAATTAACAAGCCTGTTACCCAGAGACCAAGTTACAAACCTACGTGTAGCGTGCAATTCCGTTTTACATTTAATACTTTAAAGTGGTGACATCATTTTTTTTTTTTTTTTTGCCTTGCATTTGTTCAATTTTGTGTGTTAACAGGTTTTGATAATGGCTACCACTGACCTCGCATGGAACCCTATTACGCCCTAGGTAGCACCGAGGCAACTCGCTCCATCAGTAGATTGTAGTGCCCCGTACGAGGATCGGGGGTAGGGACGAGGGTGCCAGGGATGGAGATAATGGGGAAAGGGTGCTTGGGACAGAGGTGCCTGGAACGAGAGTGTCCGCAATGGGGCATGGACCAAGCGGTGACATACAGCAGCGAAACCTCGCTGAGGGATCCTTCCCGACTACTTCACTATGTTAGGGTCAAACCCAGAGAACATCCCTCTCCTTCGTTAAACCCCTCCCCAACTGCAGTTGTCCCTCCGCCGCGCGTGCGCACTGGGCTGAACCGGAGCGCAAGGGGCGGGTCAAAGGCAGAGAGGGGGGGGGGGGGGGGGGGGGGGGGGGGGGGGGGGGCGAACGGACGGAGCCGCGGCTGCGCACTGCGCGGCGCCGTCCGCCCAGCGGGCGTTTCCGGCCCTGCGGCTTTTCCGGCCAGAGATCGCTGGGCTGGCGTTGCTGACGGCGCCTTTCCTGACGCACTGACCGACCGAAGACTGACGACCCGGACCCGAGCGACCATGGCATACAGCGGGGCCCGCTGGCCAACGCCACGCTGGGCGCTGCCTTTCGGCGGCTTCGCGCTGCTTCTGCTCCTTCCAGCGGCCCCCGCGCAGCAGCCGCTCGGGGCAGGTGAGGGCTTGTCGGGCGCGGGCGAGGGCGAGGGCGAGGGCGAGGGCGAGGGCGAGGGCGAGGGCACTGGGTCGGTTAAGGGGCGGGGTTGGGCGCAGGCACGGTCGGGTTAGGCCCCCCTGGCGGAGCCTCTCGAGCGGCTGCGCCAGTGTTGTGTTGACCTCGCCCGGCGGCGCGCGGCTTCCGCGACTAGTTCCCCCGTGGACAGGGTGACTCTCAGACTGTAGGGAGAGCACAGATGTTCGCTAGAGCAGGAGGCGGCTAGGGGCCCCACACCTTTCCCCGGGATTCCGGAGCGCGGCGAACTGAGAGACTTGCGGCCGAGAGCCCCAAAGTTGGGATGTTCCCCGATAGCTACACCCAGTCCCACCACCCAAAATGAAAACCACACCCGCTGCCATTCAGTTCCTTCCGAGTCGTAGCGACCCTGTAGGACAGAGTAGAACTGCCCCACAGAGTTTCCAAAACTAAATCTTTACGGAAGCAGACTGCCTCACGCTTCTCCCCCAGAATGGCTGGTGGGTTTGAACTGCCTCTCTTTTGTTTAGCAACCAAAAGCTTTAACCGCTGCGCCACCAGAGCTCCTTAGTTCTGCCATAGCAGGGGCCTTATTTGCGCTGGGGGCACCGGACGTCAGCAGAAGAGACGACACGGGCAGGTTAATTTTTCGTCTTTATTTAACTTTTGCTGTCCCCCTTGCGCAAGACTGTAAGACAAACCCATCTCGAAAACCACGACCAGTGACCAGCGCTGCTGTGGAAAGTGTCCGCGAGGATGCTGTTTGTTCTTTCGGCGGATGGTGCCTTGTCACAATGCCTAGCGAACTGTCTCATTTAATTTCTCTGCCACCGTGGAAGAAAACGATTTTTTTTCTCGGGTTTAGATTTGAAGTCCTGAAGTAGAGCTTAAAACCTTGCTCGAGGTTCCACAGCTGGTGGTAGGTAGGTGAAGGGGCTTGTTGAGTTTTGTTCCACATTTTTCTCCTATTCTATCTAGGGTCTCCTTTCGTGATCTTTTCTCAGAGTGGTTCGCAGTGGCGACAGGCACCATCTAGTTCTTCTGGTCTCAGGGCTGTGAAGGCTGAGGTTCATGTGGTCTATCACTCCTTTGGACTAATTGTTACCATGTTGCTTTGATTCCATGCACTTTTCTTTGCTCTGGATGAGAAGAGACCAGTAGTTGTACTTAGGTGGGGGTTCATAAGCTTTTAAGACTCCAGTCACTACGCAGCAAAGAAGGATGTAGAATATTGTCTTTGTGCACTAAACCCACTGCCATCAAGTTGATTCCGACTCATATTGACACTGTAGAACAGAATAGAACTACCCTATAAGGTTTCCAAGGCTGTAAATCTTTACAGATGCAGACTGCCTCATCTTTCTTCTGCAGAGTGGGTGGTGACTTAGAACCGCCAACCTTTTGGTTAGCAAGCCACATGCTTTAACTGCTATGCCACCACAGCCCCTTCTTTGTGAACTGTGTTATGCCAGTTGACCTTGATGTCCCTTGTGACTGTGGTCCTGAGTTCTAAGGCCTAGCGACTCATTCCCTCAAGGTGTTTGGTTATAGTTAAGAAGTTTTCATACATGGATGTTTGTCCCTTTTAAGCAAGGGATTCAGTATCTCTACTTTCTAAACTGCAGCACACTTTTTTCCATTTGTTTTTCCCACCTGTTTATGGTGACCAGTCCTGGAGCCACTATGTTGACCAGCAGGCTGAGTTCCTGGGAAGACTGACCAAGAAGAAACAAGTACTTGAGATGCTGGTTGTATGTTGAAGGACAGTTGGACGGGAGGAAACTGCATGGTCTAAGGCCCAAAGAGTTCAAGAAGTCTAGGGAAGTTGAGTGTTGCTGGGGAGGGAAGTAGTGAGAAGTGGGGCTGGAAAGGGGTAAGGAGCTGGGTCTCCATGCAGGGAAAATCATGCTTAAGTGGGATTTAAGCTCCCACCTCTGGAGTCTCTATTGGGGTCCCTGTACTTGATGGGTGCCATGGACTTGATTCTGATAGATGCCCAGTGAGGTCTGAGTTTCATGGAAACAGTGCTGCCTTTTTAAAAAAAAAAAAAAAAAACGTAAAACCAAAAACCAAACTTATGCTGTTGAGTTGACTGACTCATAATGACCCCATTTGTCAGAGTAGAACTGCCACCATAGAGTTTTCTTGGCTGTAATCTTTATGGAAGCAGTTGCCAGGTCTGTCTTCTGCAGAGCTGCTGGATAGGTTCAGATTGCCAACCTTTTGGTTCGTAGCTGAGCACTCAACCGTTGCACCACCAGGGCTCCTAGTTGTGGGTAATAAAGCCATACGTAGGTAAGAACGTTAAGAAACATCACTTTCCTAACCTTTAAATTTAAGGATGACCTGCCTCTAACTGGAGTGGCAAATGTGTTCAGCTCAGGTTAGCCTGGGTTCTGCGGAGGTCTATTTAATGCCAGCCTAGCGAAGCACCTTCTCTGTTGACCTTGCTGAATATTTGCTCTAGGTAGGATTGTTCTCATCTGTTCCTTTTTACCTACATCCCTATATGCTGCTTACGTATTAGTGACGTTAGCAATGCAGTCTTTTTGAAGTTTTTTCGTAAAGAAGTTAGATGACAGTGCACTAGGAGCTTTGGTCTGAGCTCTGAGGACAAATGTGGAATGAGTAGTTTTCACCAAACAATGGGTGTCTGCCAAGAGCCTGTGATCACACCAGCAACTCTTTTATCAGTGGTTTCAGAGCATGCTTGCTGGCATTAGAGGTTAAGTGGCAGAAAGACAACCCTGAAGTGGCCAGCCCAGGCTCATGAAAATATGGCTTGGCTACTCTGATTCTAGCGCTGCATCTGGATATCTGAAGGTGCGGAGACTCTATGAAATGAATGCAAATGGACTGTGACAGTTAAATCAGAATCAAATTCTAATAATTCAGTGCTAGCCACAGGGCTTCCTCCACCATTGATCCAGCTGAAAGCTGTGGAAGTTTGCTTCCATTCACTGGAGTCACCTGCATGCCTCTCGGCTACTTTCCAGGTTTCTGTGTGAGCAGGTGCCGTTTCTCTCATCAGCAACAGTCTTCACATGGTGGGGATGATAACACGCTGTCCTGGAGGACACTGACCTGTGTTCCAACCTGTGGAGGGCTGCTTATGGCAACTGGCCTCTCCCTCTTCCTGCATAGAATGTGATGTGCTCCTTGCCTCACTGTAGGAATATGACTGTTGCTATTTTTAAAATGTTTTCCTTGCAAGGAAAATGAATTCAAAGAATACATCACACCAACACTGTGTGTGTGTGTGTGTGTGTGTGTGATTTGGGTGAAAGGTTACAGAGCAAATTCACTTTCCATACAGGAGTTCGCATATACTTTGTCTCCTAACATTGACTACAGTTTACCCCAATGCAACAGCTCCCCTCCCACTTCCTCCAGATAGTTACCTCTTCCCTGTGTCCATCCCTCCATGCACTCCTGCCCCCTGAGCCATCTCCCTGTGCATAAAGAGCCCTTCTTTCTCCCATGATTGTTCTCTCCAGGGAGTGTATCTACCTGGGGTAAATGTTCAGCTCATATGCCTGTCTTTTGTTTGTCTGGAAGCCACAGGAGTGGGTTCAATTCCAGATCTGAATGGCTGCTAGAGACCATAGTCTCAGTGGTTCCATGAGTCTCTATCAGACCAGCAAACCTGGTCCCCCCCCCAAAATGATTTTGAGTTTTGTTCCACATTGTTCTCCCTCTCTATCCAGGATCTCCTACATAGATTCCCCCTCCAAGTGGTTGACAGTGGTAGCTGGGTACCATCTAGTTCTTTGGGTCTCATGGTCATAGGCTGAGGATCACGTGGTGTACCATTCGCTTGGACTAATTGTTTCCATGAATCTTTGGTTTTCTTCATTCTTCTTTGCTCTGGACAAGGAGAGACCCATCGTTGCATCTAGATGGCTGCTTGCAGGCTTTTAAGATTCCAGTTGCTACTCACCAAAGTAGGAGGTGGAACAATGTGTTGTGTAGTGTGTTTTGCCAGTTAAGCTTGATGTCCCCTGTAACTATGGTCCTGAGCCTACGTGTTCAACTACTCGCTCCCTCTGGGTAGCTGGCTGTGTCCAAGAAGTGACTGCAACCTTGTTTCTTGTCAGCTCTGCTATACACCTGGGGAGTCTTACAGAACATACAAATACACTTGTAGAACCATTGTCTGCCAATACCATATACATGGTCTTGGATACACTCCCCCCTGCATAGATATACCTAATCCTTCAACCTGTCCACCCATCTATGCACCCATATATCCATGTTTGCCTTCACTGACCGCAGTACTATATGTGCAAAAGGTTCATCTTTCTTGTCTGTACCTCCCATGTACCTCTCTATGTCTTCCTCTTCTTCAGTGCCACCATGTTGATCACTCACATTTGGTACATTGCCTTTCTCTTCACCCAAATCAGTACTTATCTCTACCTATCTAACAGTGTTCCCTGCTCTCCTCTCCCACCCCAAGTAACCAACAAGGAAAATTTCCTTCTATATATAAACCTTTCCTTGACTTTTTACAATAACGGATTAATAAAGTATTTGTCCTTCTGTGATTGACTTATTTCACTCAGCATAATGTCCCCCAAGTTCATTCACGTTACGTGGTGTTTTGCAGATTCTATGTTATTCTTTAGAGTTGCATGGTGTTCCACTGTGTGTATGTAACATAGTTTACACCAACACTTTTTAATGTTTTCTTGAGTGTGGGAGAGTCATTAGGAACCCATGATGTATCAAAGGTCTTTATAGGAAAATTAATGTAATTTAGAGAAACCTTGATGGGCACCACTCAAATTGTATATGTGGTTGTTGTTGTTACGTGCTGTCGAGTCGGCCCCGACTCATAGCGACCCCTCTTTGGGTTTCCGAGGCAGTATCACTGCGGAAATAGATTGCCCTATCTTCCTACCGAGGAGTGGCTGGTGGGTTTGAACCACAAGCCTTCTGGTTAGCAGTCAAGTGCCTTAGGCACTATGCGACCAGAGCCCCTGTATATGTGGTTAGACTTGTCCAAGGGCTTCATTTGCCTGTGTGGCAGGAAGGCGGTCCCGGAAGGACCTTGTGCTGCTCCTGAAGAGAGAACATTGTGGCTGAGGCTGGTCAGCAGGGGTGAAGGGTCCTGCTCTGTAGTCAGACTTCGGATTTGGGGGGCATCTGCCATCTGAGAAAGGTCCTTGAGTCTGTCTTGCTTGCTCTTTCAGTAAATTGTGTAAGATGTTATAAGTATACACATGGAACATCCTTTTGATGTATGCTGCCATTCTTCTTTTCTTCCTTTTCTACCAAGATAGCATGATGACAGGGACTTTTTGTCTACATGAATTTTCCCCTCATTTCTTAACCTGAAATGGACAATGTTAGTGTTCTCCATATGTCTGTCACTGGGCTGGCTGGTATGATGCTGCTTTAACAACAGGCTTGTCTATGGCAAGGGGCAAGGCACACTGCAGCCCTTGGCCTGTCTGACATGTGACACATATTGGATAAATAATAAATTTTATCTTTTCTTTATTTAAATGTATCTCTTTACACATGCTTGTGTGTGTCCTTTGTACTTAATAAATTAACTGATGCACCTGAAACTTTAGGTGAGAAATCAAAAGTGGGGCATGGTTTAGTATCTCTTAACAAAAGGACCTTTTTTGTCTTTTTATATAGTTTCCCCAAATGAACGAGATGGTATGTTCTCTTGCTATTGATAAATAGGGTCTAAGGGAAGACTTTTGGTCCTAGGATTTCAGAAGTTAGGACATTGGTCTTAGCATTAGACTTAAGAAGTACAGGCTTCGTTTTATTATCTCTAGTTTTAAGCACATGGTTTTTGCACCCTGTGATAAGAGGTGTATTGACCTCTTAGAGAAAGCAAATGTTGCTTGGCTTTGAGAGTCAGTGGTTAGTGCATTTTCCTGTCATACTATGAGATGGTGTGGTTTTTCAGATGCGAGACCAGCATGGCTTCCCCCAGCTTTTGCAATGACCTGAGTGAAGACTGTAACACTGACATCTCCTTTACATCACAAGCCTGCTTTGCCCTCATTTGTGCTGGCAGCTGTCAAGGCCTGAGTGTACCCCTGGGCTCTCCCATGATTCCTGCTGGCCCAAAGTTGCCAAGCCTTGGGGGGTAGTGTAGAGTTTGTAGTATGTATCTTGGAGCATAATTCTTTTTGTTCACACGTTGTTGTTGTCGTTATGTGCCATCGAGTTGGACCCAACTCACAGTGACTCCTCTTTGGGTTTCCGAGGCAGTATCACTACGGAAGTAGATTACCCAACCTTCCTTCTGAGGAGTGGCTGGTGGGTTTGAACTGCCAGCTTTCTGGTTAGCAGTCAAGTGCCTTAGGCACTACGCCACCAGAGCTCCTGTTCGCATAAGACCAGTCATCTTAGCTATCCAAACACAGCTTTACAAAGGAAAATCTCCATCAAGGAGCGCCTACTCCCCAGCCTCCCTGGCTCCCATGGCTTGGAGAGGTCTAGTTTCTGAGACCGGTGAGAAGGAAGTATGTCCTTTCTTGTAAATGATTTTTAGAAGCAATTGCAAGTGGGGCATGTTAGGCAGCTGTGCCGATTTCCTCAAAGCCCCCCCTCCCCAACTCCCTAGTTAGGAAAATTCCAGAGCTACACAGAGGTTGACAGCCCAGTTCAGTGAACTCCTGAATTCCCTTTTAGAGTCACGTTTGCCTCATGTGCTTTGCTGCTCTCTTTGAGTATTTGCTTATTATTTTTACCAAAGCATTTGAGAATAAGCTGTGATGTGACCCTTCACCTCTGAATTCTTCAGGGTATATATCTTAAGAATGAGGATATTCCTTTATGCTGCAGTATGATGATCAAAATCCAGACATTTAACATTGATCTGATCTTGATTTGACATGTACGTCTATGTACACATCCAACCAAGTATCCTAGTAATGTCCTTTTATCCTCACCCTGACCTCATCCAGGATCACATGGGACATTTAGTTGGGAGAGTCTTTTTACTCTCCTTTGAGCAGGACTAGCTCTTCAGCCTCTCCATTTTCATAGTGCTGGCTTGTGGAAGGCCCCTGCCTTGGTTTGGGTGCGTCTCGTTATTTCATTATGATATGATACAGGAGCCCCCACAGCCAGCCATGATGCAGTGTCCTCATTATGCCCTCAGAGGAGCATCAGCTGCCACTTTGTCCTATTGTTGTGTTGCTTACAGGTTACTGGGTGATAACTGATCGTGTTCAAAACAATTCTGCCAGGTTTCTCTCCTGTAAATGTGCTGTGTTTCTCTTTGTAAGGGATGATTCATTTGTGGAAGGGGCTTTGAAACTGTAAGATCATGTCACTCCACAGCCTCCACTGCAGGTAATTCTCACCTTTAATTACCTGCAGGTAATTCTTTACTGGGATGACTGCAAAATGGGATACTTCAACTCACCATTGCTCCATGTTTACTAGTCGGCCTCCTATTTACTTCATGTTGGTATGAATCATGGACTGTTTTATTCAGGGGTGATAGTCCATTCCTGTCATTTTGATGTTTAAATTGTCCCAGATGTGAGCAGGAGGACACACTGCCCTGCACGCGCGCACACGTGTGCGCACACACACACACAAGGCTGGCTTCTGGGTTTTGTCATCTGCCCATCACTTGTGAGCACTCTCTCACTTTCTGGCACAATAAGCTATTCAAGGCTGAACTTGCCCTTTCCCAGCCCCAGTCCTGGTATTCACCATCTCTCCAAGGAGCAAGGAGCCCTGGCTTCTTTTAAAGGGGAGCAGTGTCCAGAGACCACGGCCTGGGCACTGGGTGTGCCGTGCCTCTGCTTCTCCGGATTGTGTCTAGGCCCTTCTGGGTTCCAGAACTAGGAAATCAAATTTTCACATTGAGGGTTCATATTGGTGCCAAGTCCTCCCCATTCTTCTGCTAGCGCCTCCCTCTGCCCCCCCTTACCCCACATTGTGCCTCCCTTCCCCCAGTGCCACATCACTGAAGACTTGAAACCTTAGCAGCCCTGTCCTCTTCCTCTTCTTCAACAGCACCCAAAGGTAGTTTAGTGGTTGTCAGTTTTCCTTAACTTCCCTTGGCTGAACAGAATCTATGGTTCTGAAATTTTCAAATTGTCCAAAGAAAGCTTAAATAAAATTTAACAGACCACCCTCAGAGACTCTGAGAAGCACTGTTTAATATGGCCAAGTAGGATTGCTAGGTCAGAGGGTAGGGGTGTGTGTGTCTTGTGAGCAGCTGCCCTCCCTTTTACCAAGGCAGTGGAACCATTTCACACCCCATCAGCACTGTGAGAGTTCCAGTTAGCTCCATCCTCACCAACACTTAATACTGTCATCCTTGTAATTTTAGCCATTCTGGTGGGGGCGTGGTGATATATTTTTGGGACTTGAGTCTTCATTTCCCTGCTGATTTTAGCACTGAGCATAGAGCTTTTGGTGTGTGTGTGTGGGGGGGGGGCTTGTATATGTGTGGGTGGTGTGTTTGTGCTTAAGGGGCGGTGGGGAGTAAGCCATCAGCATAAGTAAGCATGACAACATACTGGTGGTCTTTTATATATTCAGCCCTTCTTTTCTAATTAGCTTGAGTTCCAAAGCTGTGAGTTGGTTGGAGTTTGACTCCTTCCTGTAGCAGCTGTACTGCGAGTTGTGGTTAGAGCCCCAGGGGCACTGCCACCCACATGATTGGAGCAGCTGATTGCCTGGCACATCCCACACTGTCTTGGGGAGGATGATAGGGGACTGAGGCCTGTGATTAGTCACAGGTGCTCTGTGTGTGGGTCTGAAAATCCTGGTGGAACGTCATTGGCATTACTGTGGTGTTGAATGGGGAGACTCTGGTTCCAGAGAATATCTGCTACGAAGCTGCAGGTTTTAGTCTGTTAGTGATTATCCCAAGATGCAGTGTACCTCTTCTGCGCTCCAGCAACCTGCAACACTCCCTTCTTTTTTGAATCATCTTCCTCCAGGACACCTTATGAGGGTGGGAGTATTTGTGCACAGCTCTTGTGTCCCCTTGGTGCCGCGCTCACAGCGGCATTTGGTAAATGCTCTGTGTATGTTGGTGTACCCTGAAGGAGGTGTGTTCCTGGGGGGGGTGTCTAGGGGAGAATGTTTGTCTTGTGATTCTGGATCATAGTTGAGCTCCAGGGTGATTCATGAATGTCCCCTGCCTCTTGCGATCTAATGTTTATGTCGCAAGACTCTCATTGATTTACTTATCTTTCCCCACAGCTTGCTCTCAAAATTCAAATAGAACCTGTGAAGAGTGCCTGAAAAATGTCTCCGTAAGTAACACAAATTGCCACCTAATCCTCAGATAGACACTCTTTTTCTAAAGCCAGAGTCACTTAATGGTTCTGTTATTTGGGATTTATGGAGGTATTTTTCATGACAGTTATTAACAGTTATTTTGGCCTTTCTTGGGCATATTAAACTGTCTCATGGAAAACTGCAGGTATCACCTGAAAATTGTCCATTCATGATATTTAGCTTTTGTGGTGGAAGAGTTTCCCAAATGGCCATGATAAGGAGAGTTTTAGTGCTGTTGATTAAATACAGCCAGAACCCATTATAAACATAAGACACTAAAGTGGGCATTATATAAATAGCCCTGGGTAAGCCCGGTTTCCTCTGAATATTTCTCGTTAATAGACTTTCATGGTAACCTGGGACAAAAAGTCATGATTTTATATCCTCCTGAATTCAGTTGAACTGCTAACTTCAAGATTTAAAATATAAAGTGAGATCTTGGCTCTGGCATCATGTGTAAGTGCCACTTCAGGCACAGTTCAGGTATCCCCTCAATGTGGGGCAGAGGGGTGTCAGTCTCTCCCAGTGCTTGCTGATTCTCTTGACCACATTCTAGTCCACTGTGCCAGGGGAGTTAAATACTCTTGGGGCTGCTTTATGTACCGTTGACGCATATATGGTGGGCTCTGTGTCACCCTCAACCTAACATATTAGGGAATTGAAAGTTTGGAACAGACACTTTTAGCCTCAGTTACATCACCTTTCAGCTGGGTGCATTAATAACCCACATCTTAATGTGGCTATGGAGATTAAAGGCTAGATGCAAAGTACCTGACTAAAAGCAGAGATTGTCATGGTAATGATAATCTGTTCATTCAATATGTAGTGAGTGCCCACCATGGGCCATACTTGTCCTGGGTGCTTATGAGATGTCTGAGGAGGACACAGATACCTGTTCTTGTATAAGCATTGTGTCCAAGGCACGATATACAATGCACAAGAGGTTAGGGCTATGTATGTGATAGGAGGAAAACTGCCCAGCAAGGGAAGAAGGTGAGGAGGGTTGCAGTTTGAAGTAAGTTGGTAAAGGCCTTCTTGAGAAGGTGATGTTTGTCAGAGAAGGTGAAGGAGCCTCCCGATGTGCAGGGGAATAGCATCCAGGCAGAGTAAGCAGGCTGTGCAAAGGCCCTGGGGAGGGAGCCAGTTCAGCACAAGGAAAAAGAGTCTGAGGTTCCCACGGGCCTTGGCTTTTCCTTTGAGTGTGATGCTCTTGAGCAGATGAGAACCACTAGCCACCGTGCTGTGAACAAAAAGATGCTGAGCAGGACTGAGAGCAGACTGGTTGGGAGGCTGAGGCCGTCTTGGCCATCCAAGGGGAGGTGCTTTGCTCATAGGTCATGAGCTGGTGAGGAGTGTTTTTCATATTTCACTTAGATGTTCATCCACTGCTTATTTCTTTCAGTGTCTTTGGTGTAACACCAATAATGCATGCTTGGACTACCCAGTTCGAAAAATCTTGCCACCTGGGTCTCTTTGTAAATTAAGTTCTGCACGCTGGGGTGTTTGCTGGGGTAAGTTGTTGTTTTAATTTACTTCTTGCAAAAGCAGTGCTTTTTTAAAATTTCTGATGTGTGCTCAGTTAACATAAATTGACAGAAAACACTATCCCAGTAGCTCTGTGACACTCCCAGCAAGATGTTGGGAAGCCAGTGTTAGCACACCAGGTCTATGAGAACAGCTGGAAGCCGTGGGGGAATCTGGAGGAGCACCTTCTAGGCCATCAGCCTGGGCACTGAAGTCTCTCCACATCCTAGACAGTCTCAGCACATTCCACGCAGTTGGTGCTCACGGCTCCTTAGGCCTATATGGTTGGAGTGGTGTTGACCTTGCTTTCTCCCACTCTAAACAACATCACAGAGAGTGGTGGTAGGGATAGCCTTAAAGTATTCTGCCTTTTCAGAACTTTAATGTCCTAACTGAGCACTAATTCTCCTGACACTGGCCAAAATGCACCAGCATGTCTGACTTGAAGCTAATAAGTCCCTTCTCCTGTGGGACTTGACCATCTCAGAGGCTCAAAGTGAAAAGTTGCTTACTGGGGGTCTTACCTGGCCAGCACAATGATACCCCAGAATGCCATCTTAGCCACTTGTGGGCAGGTGTTCATCTTCTGAGTCTTTAGTTGTGGCTTTTGGTCAGTCTTCAAAAACTGGTGAAGACTTGAGGGGTTTCCCTAGGCTTGGTTTGTTTGTTTGTTTGTTTTTAAATCCTTCTATAGTAGGAAGGAATTTTGACTAAGCCTCAGTAAAAAATACAAGTCATTTATATAGTGTCTCCTGATCTGGGAATAACATGATTGTATGATATAAGAGGCAGTTTGGCATATTAGAGCTCCAGTGTGCACCACACAAACATTTCAGCTGAAAAATCAGTATAAATGTATTTATTGATAAAGTTAAACTAACAGGAATAGTACGTGTGAAATGTGTAAATATCAGCTCATTGACTGGGATACCCTATCACTGACCTTTGTAGATTTGGAGAAAATCTTGGTCTTGTTTCATTCATTATTAAATGGTTCATCGTGAGTGTGGATAGACTAGAACCCTCATACACTGCTGGTAGGACTAAAATGGTGCAACTATTGTGGCAAATGGTATGGCATGTCCTTAAAAAGCTAGAGATGGTAATACCATATGATCCAGCAATCCCATTATTAGGTATACATTCTAGAGAAATGAGAGCTGTGATACTCACAGATGTATGTACACCTATGTTCACCACAACACTATTAACAATAGCAAAAAGATGGAAATAACCTAAATGTGGATCAACAAACCATGGTACTTACACACAACAGTGGTATACTACACAACATTAAAGAACAATAATGAATCTGTGAAACATAACATGGATGAATTTGGATGCTGTTACGCTGAGTGAAGTTAATCACAAAAGGACAAATACTGTGTGAGACCACTATTGTAAAAAGTTAAGTAAAGGGTTTGACAAAAGAAATACTCTTTGATGGTTACTAGGGATGTGTGGGGAAGGAAGGGTAAACCACTAACTAGATAGTAGACATATAAATTTGGGTAAAGGAGGGAAAAAAACATACCCAAATAGTAGTTCTACTTTTGTCCTCAACAGAAGGTTGTTTCTTCTTGGGACTCCTGTACAGTTGAAGTCAATCACTGAAATGGTATAGAATGCATAGACTGGCAAAAAAAAAAAAAAAGAAAAGAAAGCGTTTGTTGTGTGACCCTCCACCATTTGTTTGTCATTTTGTTGTGCTGTGGTGGTTTGTATGTTGCTGTAATGCTGGAAGCTATGCCACCAGTATTTCATATACCAGCAGGGTCACCCATAGTGGACAGGTTTCAGTAGAGCTTCCAGATTAAGGGAAGAAAGACTTGGCAATCTATTTCTAAAAAAATTGGCCAGTGAAAATCTTAAGAGTAGCAGTGAAACATTGTTTGATATAATACTGGGAGAGGAGCCCCTCAGGTTGGAAGGCACTCAAAACACGACCAAGGAAGAGCTTGCTTTCTCAAAGCAGAGTCAACCTTAATAATGTGGATGGAGTAAAACTTTGTTGTTGTTGTTGTTAAGTGCCGTCGAGTCGTTTCCGACTCATAGCGACCCCATGCACAGCAGAACGAAACACTGCCCGATCCCGCACCAGCCCCACAATCCCTGCTATACTCGAGCCCATCATCGCAGCCACTGTATCAATCCATCTCGTTGAAGGCCTCCCCCTCTTTCGTCGACCCTCCACCCTACCAAGCATGACATCCTTCTCCAGGGAATGGTCCCTTCTTACAACATGACCAAAATAGGTGAGACGAAGTCTGGCCATTCTTGCTTCCAAGGAGCATTCTGGCTGCACTTCCTCCAGGACAGATCTGTTAGTTCTTTTAGCAGTCCACGGTACTTTCAGCATTCTTCGCCAGCACCACAACTCAAAAGCATCAACTCTTCTTCGGTCTTCCCTATTCATTGTCCAGCTCTCACATGCATACAAGGTGATTGGAAATATCATGGCTTGTGTCAGGCACACCTTAGTCCTCAAGGAGATATCCTTGCTCCTCAGCACTTGAAACAGTTCCTTCGCAGTTGACTTTCCCAATGCTACACGTCGTCTAATGTCCTGACTGCTGCTTCCGTTGGCATCGATTGTAGAACCAAGCAATGTGAATTCCTTGACAACCTCAATCTTCTCTCCATTGATTGTGATGCTGCTCATTGGTCCAGTTGTGAGGATTTTTGTTTTCTTTATGTTGAGATGTAATCCATACTGCAGACTGTATTCTTCAACCTTCATCAGTAGGTGCCTTAAGTCATCCTTAAAGTAAAACTTTAAGGTCCTTCATTTGCTGATAGGGCACAACTCAAAATGAGAAATAGCTGCAATATCCATTAATGTTCAGAACATAGAGGGTACTAATGTAGGGAAATCGAGAGTTGTCAAAAATGAAATGGAACGTTTGGAGATAGATACTCTAAGTATTACTGAGCTGAAATGTTCTATGGGCCACTTTGAATTGGACAGTTGTGGTGTACTACACTGGTAATGACAAATTGAAAAGGAATGACAAAAAGAACTTTCAAGATTTATCCTAAAGTACAATGCTGTCAGTCATAATAATACCCATACACCTACAAGAAAGATAGTAAATGCATCTATTATTCAAATTTACACACCAGCCACTAATGCCAAAGATGAAGAAATGGAAGATTTTTTTCTTTTACTGTGATTTGGGTCAAAGTTTACAGAGCAAATTGGTTTTCCGTTCAGTAATTCATGTACAGCTTGTTTTGTGACGTTCATTGCAGTCTCCACAATGTAACAGTACTCTTCCCACTCCTCCCTGTGTTTACTGTTTTCATTTGTCCTTCTTTCCTATCCCTTCCTACTTTCTCAGCTTTGTCCCTGGGCACATGCCACCCTTTTGATCATATGTGATTGATCGTTCTAATGAACACCTTCCTGGTGTTATCATCCACCTTACACCCTGTCTGTTATTTGGCTGAAAGTTGAGCCATGAGGATAAGTTCATTTCCAGGCTTGAAGAGTGTCTAAGAGAAGAATTAAAGATTTTTACCAATTTCTGCAATCTGAAATTGATCGAGCATACAATCAAGATGCACTGATAATCAGTGGTGATTGGAATGCAATCAAAGAAGGAAACAAAGAAGGATCAATAGTTGGAAAATAGAGCCTTGGTGATGGAAGTGACACTGGAGATCACATGATAGAATTTTGCAAGATCAACAGCCTATTCATTGGAAATACCTTTTTTCAACAACGTAAACAGTGACTATACATGTGGACTTCACCAGAAGCATTACCTAGACATCAAATCAGTTATATCTGTGGAGACAATGAAGAAGCTCAATATCATCACTTAGAACAAGGCCAGGGGCTGATTGCAGAACAGCCCCATCAATTGCTCAAATGCAAGTTTAATTTGAAGCTGAAGAAAATTAAAACAAGTCCTTGAGAACCAAAGTATGACCTTGAGTATATTGCACCTGAATTTAGAGATCATCTGAAGAATAGAGTTGATACATTGAACACTAATGACTGAAGAAGACTAGGTGTTTTATGGGAGGACATCATACATGAAGAAAGTAAAAGGTCATTAAAAAGACAGGACAGGAAGAAAGACCAAAATGAATGTCAGAAGAGACCCTGAAACTTGCTCTTGAATGGAGAGTAGCTAAAGTGAATGGACAAAATCACCAGATAAAAGAGCTGAATAAAGATTTCAAAAGGTGACTCAAGAAGACAAAATAAGGTATAATGAAATATGCAAAGACCTGAAGTTAGAAAACCAAAAAGAAGAACATAACTTGGCATTTCTTTTTTTTTTTTTTTTTTTAATTTATTTTTATTTGGGTGAAGATTTACAGAGCAAATTCACTTTCCATACAGCAGTTCACATGTAGTTCTGTTGTACATAAGGTTGTTGAGTCAACGGTAGATGAGAACAATCCAGGCTAAGTTAAGTTCATGTGATATATTTAGGGGCAGAA